AGCTAGCAAACGAGCTCCCGGCTCTTGCCTCTTGCCTCTTGGCTCTTGCCTGATCTTGTGTGAAATTAGATTTCAGATTTGCAGCAAACATGCATCAATTTAATTTAGCTACTGTCGGATTTTCAAAGTAATTCGAGATATGGTTTGGAAATAATAATAAATAAATAAGAAATTAAAAAAACATGATTTGAATGTTTTCTGTAATTAATTTTCAACTTTCTCCCTTCTTGGAGCAATTTTTGCAGTCTTAAAGATTTTACGGTAGATGATGCAATCTGATCTCTAATGTATATGAAATCTGAAATAATGTATATGAAATGAAAATGAATAAATACTGTGCAAAATGTGGTAAATAATATAAGCATATCAATCATGCTACTAAAAATAATAGGTTTTTGAAAATATTATGATTATATAATTTTAATATTAATAATTTCAAATAGCTTTTATTCTTTTCGACTAGAATACCTTACACCAACAGTTGATTCAATTCTAATTAAAATTATAACATTTGTGTTTAATCAAACAAAGTAAATAGTTTTGATTTCAGCAAAACAATTAATGAAATAGATTGAAGCGCAGCTTACATTGATATGCAGCAGCTGCTGGATTTGCTGTTTGTGCAAATTGATAAACATTAATTTATAATTGGCATTTCGTGTACGAATTGAGGTAGTACATATAGGTAGTACATGAGGTAGTATATATCCATAGGTATATAATAGCCATATACAAATATAGACACGTTCCATTTCAGTTGAACTAATTCCAATTCAAATGTTGACAATTTGAATGTTTCAAAATGTGTGTGTTCAGGCTTCAAAAGCAATATGTTTTTCGCCTGCCCCTCTCCCTCTCATCCATCTCTATCTTTCGCCCGCTGTGTCACCTGTTTGTGAAATGTCCAGGTTGTGGACGCCATTGAATCACTTTCGGACGTGTCAAAGCCGTCAGTTGAGTGTGGGGCGTGGCAACTAGGAAGTAGGCCAACCTACGTGGCAAATGGGATTCCCATAGAAATTGAAATGTGCGCACATATCGTGTGCATGTATGCATGCACATATATAGATATATCGTGTGATATAACTATTGAAGTCTTACAGCAGTTTCTTCTAATTGTTATACCCTGTAAATCACTTGAGTTGCATTTGAATGTTTAATCATTCAATGTGTCAAATTTTCATATTTTACATTTGAATAAATGAAATGAATTTACGCATATTTTTCTCTGTTTTTTCTATTTTTTTCTTTTTAGCAATTTTTCAAAATACAATTTAAAGCTATGGCATATGTAGGTATCTAACTTTAAGTTTCTATTTTGTAGCTTGAGGTTGTTTTGGTATAAGGTCATAGGTATGTGTGTGTACGTGTTATTTACAGTACAAAACACGTGTTTGCCTAAGATGTCCTGAGAGCAAAAAACCAAAGCACACTCGTAGGCGCCTCACCTTGAAAGTGGAATTGTGGATATATTTCTCAGCTCAGCTTTAGCAGATTTAATGGTTTTTCAAAGGCAGGCACAAACAGTATAATCTGGAATGCCTGTTCAGCGCCTGACTTGCATTTTGATTGCGAAAGATGCTGTTGACGATGTTGATGAGGCATGCGGCATGCGGCATGTGGCATGTGGCATGTGGCATGCGGCATGAGCCTTGCGTCTCTTTGGGTGTTTAAACAGCTTTAACATTTTGCACGCAAATATTCAGTTACACGAATCTGCACAGATTTACTTACGACATGCGACAAGACACACACACACACACACAAACGCAATACCACACAAACACCATAGCACAGACACACTCCGACCACACACACACACCGCAAGCTTCCGCTTATTGTTTGCAACAACAATTAAGCCGCAGCTTTGCAGCAAGTCAACTAAAATCATCAAAATGTTTGCGGCTTTGTTGGCAGCACACCCGCACACCCACGCACAATTGGTAAATGCATGTGCCACATTATGCGGCATCAACTGTAAAGCAGACGCCAAAGCAGCAGTTGAGTGCTGCAAATGAAAATAAATTTTATGCATTTGCAGATCATCGGCAAATACAAAGCAGAAATTTTGAGCTTCCCCATTTTGCCCTAGCAACATTCTGTGGCATGTACGAAGAGAATTTCAATGGGTGCAACAGCAGTGCAAAATTTATTTATTTTTTTTGTTGTGGCCAAATCCGCTTACAAAATCTCGATTAAAAGTTGAAATTCAAATATAGCTAAGGCATAAGAAGGGGCTAGCGCTAAAATGGGGAAAATTATGGGGGTATGGGAAAAAGAGAAGAAGAAGGGGAGGGGTGGTAGAGAGGGAGGGGGAATAGAGACGCCAAGGCAACGTGGGAGAGAGCCATAGCGTTTTCTCTGTTTTTGTGCACAAAAATACAAATATTTCATGAATTTATCTGGCTTAAATGAAATAAGCATTGATTATAGCGAGTCGAAAATAATAAAAAAAAATCTATAATATTTGGAATATTTGCGTAATACAACACAATATTTAAAACAAGCATATTAAAACGAAAAAGCCTGATTATAGACTTGTTGCAGTTATAAGAAAAAACTGGCAGTGTTCGAGCGAACTAAAATCAGTGAAACTTGATGCAATTTTGGCTACAAATTTGCAATTTGTTTGTCTGTTGTAGAAATTTCAATCGGCATCAGTTGGCCAAAAATTCTATTGTTGATGGAGTGGTTATTGAAATTGCAAAATGTTTGAAATGCAGGCAGAGGAAGATAGAGCAAAGCAGGCGAAATGGTAGAGATTATTTTCCACATTTTCGTTATATAGAGGAGCTTATAATTCGAGAAATCATGCATAATTTAACTTAGTAATAGTACATAGCTTAAAATCTGACTTTTACTTTGAATAAATTAGACACTAATTGCAAGTGCTGAAAACTTTAAGAGTTTTGATACCGATTCAAAAATATTATTTCGTAAATTCAATATCAAAATTTTCCACATTCAATGTGTTGTTAATTTTCGATTTATTTACAAAATACTGTTAAAAGATTTTTCGCCAAATAAAACTTTCAAAGAGATTTTCTAATACATTACAATATTTTTGTTACTTGCTGACTCTTTTGATGTTAGGCCGCAAGCGCGTTCGTTATTTAACTGCGTTGACATGAAATGTTGAAAATGTTGAAAACATTTAAATTGTTGAAATGGCCGCAGCACGAAATATATGCGTAATAAATGTGCTGAATAATGGCATTAATAATGGCAATCTACATGAAACCAACAACAGCAATAAAACGACCATAAAATGCAAGCACATTCATAATATTGAGCAGAGCCGCAGCCACTGGGGCTGACCGCACCTCAGCGCCAGTCTCATCCTCACCTCGTCTGTCCCGTGGGTCGCTGCTGAGTGGCACTCGATGTGTCTTAATTAGCATAAATGCTTATTGCGGCCTGCATTGGTGGTACTTACACAGCAGGCCCCTCCCCCCGGACTATTAACCTCAGCCAAATAGCAATTGTAGCTGCATTCAACCAACCAACGTAGCAGCAACGGCAGCAGCAGCATTCGGCGTTGCTGGTGTCAAATGATTTAAATACTTTTATTGCACTTGTGGCAGTCACTCAGCTGCCGCAGCGTCAGCAGGAGAGGCAACAGCAATAACAACAGCAGCAACAACTGCAACAACGACATTAACAACAACAATAAGAGCAGTGGCTTTAGTAGCATCAATAGCACTGTGAAGTGTTTTTGTCACGTGACTTAAATACTTTTATTGCGTTTACTGCAGTCAATCAGCAGCAGCAGCAGCAGGGGAAGTAAGAGCCTTAACAACAGCAACTCTGCTAACAGCTGTAGTCGTAGCAACAGCAGCAGCAGCAGTAGAAGCAATAGTAACTACCATATCAATAGCAACATCCTCAGTGAAATTAACAGCAACAGCAACAGCAATGGCAGTAGCAGCAACAGTAGCAGCAGCAACAGCAGTAATGGCAACAGCAACGAAAACAGCAATAGCAATAGTAGCAGTTGCAACAGCAACAGCAGCAGCAACAGCAACAGCAATGGCAGAAGGTGCAGCAGCAGCAACAACACCTGCCACAGTGGCAACATCTTTAGTGAAATGAATGGCAGCAACAACAGCAACAGCAGCAGCACCAACAATAGCAGCAATAGCAGCAGCAACAACAACAGTAACAGCAGCAGCAACAGTAGCAGCAACAGCAATAGCAACAGCAATAGCAACAGCAACAGCAATAGTAGCAGTTGCAACAGCAACAGCAATGGCAGAAGGTGCAGCAGCAGCAACAACACCTGCCACAGTGGCAACATCTTTAGTGAAATGAATGGCAACAACAGCAACAGCAGCAGCACCAACAATAGCAGCAATAGCAGCAGCAACAACAACAGTAACAGCAGCAGCAACAGTAGCAGCAACAGCAATAGCAACAGCAATAGCAACAGCAACAGCAATAGTAGCAGTTGCAACAGCAACAGCAATGGCAGAAGGTGCAGCAGCAGCAACAACACCTGCCACAGTGGCAACATCTTTAGTGAAATGAATAGCAGCAACAACAGCAGCAGCACCAACAATAGCAGCAAAAGCAACAGCAACAACAATAGTAACAGCAGCAACAGCAACAACAATAGTAAGAGCAGCAGCAGCAACAACAGAATCTACAACAACAACTTCATCAGCAGCAAATCGAAAGTTTTTCCATGCCCTTTGATTAATTATGCGGGCACTCTTTACTTTACTTTACACTCTGCGCTTCTTCTCTGGTCTTTCACTATTTAAATGGTAATTGTAATTGCTATCGTAATTGGTGGCACAATTAAAGGGCAATGATTGGCTATATGGGGGCTAACGAATTGGCCAACATATAATTCTTACCTTCCCACAAATTGAATGAAAACTTTATTCAACTCAATTTATTCAATATATTCAACTCAATTCAACATGAAAATGAGACCTAAAATAAGAACTGTATATATATAGAAAATAGAGTATATTTATCAATGAAACAAAAACAAATTAATTTTTTTTCAGCTTTATTTGATTTTGACATTCGCGTATGCAATTTGACGATTAAGAAATACATAGGTTCGATTTTTGAATGTGTAATGCTTAGAGCTATGTACATACGATTTGTAATAATCATAGATATATGCTATATATATATGTGTGTTATATTTACTATATATATGTATGTAGTTTTGTAAAACAGTTAGTAAAAATTTGTTAAGAAAACAAGCTTAGTGATTATATGGACTTATTTGATGAACTACGTATTTAATTTCTAAGAATGCAGAAAATGCAAAATACGACCGAATACACTCCATAGCTATAAACCATTTGTTGTATATATATATATATATATATATAAATATACATATATATATATATAGATTTGCACATACATATATTTTGTATTTAGACAGATGTACGTTGACGATATTAGAAAACGTTATAAAACTCGTTCGAATTGTCTTAAATCTATTGATTCAACTTATTATTTCGTTATTTTTTGTTATTATCTATTGAATCATATTTTATTATTTTTAATTTATTTGTTTTGTTTGATTTTTGCAATATGCCGAATGCTAAGTCTACAATATATATAGACGCCTAAATGGTATCACAGATAAATGCGCGATCCACACAGCTGTATAGGACGCACATTGGCATAACTTAGGTCTAACTGGCTATAACAAATAATATATAAAGATATACATACACATACATATAATTATATATGTACATATATCAGATAGAATTAGAGCTAGAAACTAAACCAATTTTTAAAGTAATATTTTTAATTGTTTTGGGACTGGAATTTTGTTATGTTTTGTTTCTTTCATTTCATTTCTTTTATTTTCTTTTCGTGTCATTCGTTGGGTGGGGTCTAATTCTGCCACCAGAGGGCGCTCGTGTTCCAGATCCACGCGCCCGACCCTGATCAACGATGCTGCTGCGCATGGGGCGGACCGAACGCCTGCATGCTGTAGTACCGATCGCTATCCTCCTTCACCACGCTGGTCACATGATGGAACTGGCATGGATGCGAGATCTGTGACTTGGGCGGCAGCGGCGCCGGCTTGACTCGCTTCTGTTTCTTCTGCTTGCGCCCGGGCACCGAGAGCGCAATGTTCTCGGGATCGCTGACCAGACGCTCAACGTGCAGCCAGAGCTCGCGAGCCGCATCTGTTGAGTCGAAGCTGAAGCCAATCATTTGCTGATGATTGCTGGACAGGCACATGGTGTGAAACGAGGGTCCCGCAATTCGATAATTCGACAGATTGTCCACACGATCAGACCACAGTGCGAAGCACGAGCCGCGCTCAGCCAGCACCAGTGTTAGCCGCGGCATGGACCTAGCCCGTGCGTTGCCCTTGTCGTGCAGGATCACGGGTATGCCGGTGAAGACCAGACGCCAGTCGCCATCGTTGCCCGTGCCCTCGTACAGATTGGCCAGAGCACCGCTGACAAAGATCTCGGTGCCCAGGCCAGCAAAGAAGCTCTCCACCTGGCCGCGCTCGTACTCCGATAGATTCGTGTTGCTGCTCGTGTCGGTGCTGATGGTGTCCGCATCGATGTCGGATGCATTGTAGAGCGACGTGGTGCCATGGGCGCTGCTGCGCTGTGCCGACGACTGAGAGTGGGCCGACCAGTCCGGATGCAGTATCAGCTCATCCCGCTGCTCCGACGAGGCGGTGCCCTCACTGGACTCCGACGGTGGCGCCGAGTCGCTAACGGAGCCCAAGCGTCGACGTGTCTGCTGCTGCAACTGCTGCTGATGTGACATCTGAAATGGAACAAAGCGAAACACACAAAATCCTTAATTAGATTTGCGGCTAAGTGTAAAAGCTTTTCAATTGTATTTGTTAGGGCTTTGGACACGGAGGCGAAGATTGGCTTTGAAGTTTGCCGCTTGGCACATTATATAACACCAATGCAATACTAAGTATACCCTGTACAAGCCGTTTTAGGCATGCTCATTATCAGACAAAAGACGTATCTCTACATCTCAATGATCTATACATCTTTTACCTAAAGTAGCTGTAAATTAAAGATATCTGTGTCTTCTTTTCCTTCCATAGTTATCCTACAGGGTATCTCTTGCTGACTTTGTTATTCTTTCAGTTGCATCACGTTCAAAGTTGGCTAAAAGCAAATTCCCCAGCACGCGCTTTTGGCATTTTGGCTGCACTTTTGTCTCAGCTCCTGCTTTCTGTTTACTTCTGTGGCCCTGTTTGTTGTTGTTGTTGTTTGTGGTCGCTCATCTGGTTAGCTCAACTGGAAATTATACACAATCAATTTCCGCTCCAAAACCCGTAAACATGGTCTGTAAAATGCGCTGGGCAACAGTTGCCAAAACTATTTAAGCCAATAGAAAATTTATATATACATACATATATATTAATACGTCTCTTCAATCAGAAAATTTATCTGTGAGCATAAATCTAATTTCTTTGTGAATGAATTTTGCTGAAAATAGTTGGAATTCACTTTATTTATTGGTCTGCAACGTTGCGTATGCGTAATATTTAAGCACTCGTCTCAAGGCACTCGTCTCCTAAGCTCTAGGCAAGGCAAACAATTTAAAATTGTAAAGTGAATTGAAGATAAAAAATATATTTTTATAAACATTTTTATACATTTTTGTCTATATTATTCAATAATAAATTTCGCTGTATGTATTTTAAGAACATGTTTTTTTAGCAGCTTAAAATTATTGATTAGAAAAAATTATTTTAAAAATATCTAAACAGAAATTTGAAAATAAATATTTAGTTGCATAATTTCATTCTCATTAATTTGAGTTTGCCGCAAAAAATGTTTATAAAAATATCAATCTAAATTTGGTTTCAGATTTCAATAAACTAAATTTTCTATTTTCAATAAGGCTCCTCTTGAGTTTATGTCATACATTATTGACCATATCAATTATAATTTGTAATGGTCATTTATCAGTTTTCAAGCTGTTCGGACACAGTCAACAGCATTTGAAATGTAATCGACAGTCATGTTAATTAAAGTTTAATTATTTAGCACACACTTGGCAGCAAATTGATCAATTTTCAGCGGCAAAAAAAAAATCCCAACTCACATGTAATGCAAATAAGATCGATTGAAATTGAATACCTGATTACCCGAACTCAATTGGTAGAGCGCTAATGAATGGAAATGTGAAAATGTGGAAATTTTGCGCATTTTGAGGGAACCGCAAAACCGACAAAACTTTAAGCCCGTAAACCCCTGGCACGTGGACGGGGGCACGTTTTAATTAACGCCACAAATTGTTGGTCACGCTGTAATTAAATTATTTAAATTGCTAATTTGCAACAGAAAGTGGCAAAAAACAATGAAAAGAAAAAAAAAAATCAAGCGCTAAAAAGGAAAGTGCGAAACCGAAGCAAAACTTGAAAAACTTAAAGTAAAAACCACGCTAAGGCCATAAATAATAATGCCACACGCAGAAACAAATACAAACCAAGGAATATAAAATATAAAATGCAAAAAGTTAACATTTCGACACATTTACAGAGAGGAAAGAGAGCGAGAGTGAGAGAGAGGGAGCGAGACGCTAAGAGGCAGCAGGACCTGTCGGAAGCTATGCGATGTTGTGTATCTCTTTTCCGGTTTGGCAGAGCCAAAAAGAAAGAGCGAGAGAGCCAGTGTGAGAGAGAGGGAGAGATTGGAGTAGCGGAAGCTGTGGCACACTTTTAGGCCAAGTTCTCGACAAAGTTGGCGCAAAGTTTACTCCCGAGGAGTTGCAACATTAACGCGGTTATCTATAATTTACACGCACACAGCGCATGTCGAGCATGTCGAGCGGCTTGCCCGATTCTCGAATGCACATTTATTGTGCCGAGTCGAGCGTCTTTAATGTGTGTCCCTCGCTCTGCTCCTCTAATAATATTAAAGGAAAGCAGAAAAACACAAAAAAATATCTTGCTCTCTAAGATTAATTGCCTCGCTCTGCCGAGGTTCGTTTCAGGCAAATATATTTGGTGCTGAGATTTATGTGGCTTCATTACGTGTCTCTCGTCCCTTCGTCATGGTCCCTCATGCCCGCTCCCTGTGGCTTTACCCTTGTCTATTGTCAGTTGTGCAAACATTCGGTCTAACAATTAAACAAGTTTTGCCCCGCAGGACGAGCCTGACATTTTTATTGTTGTGGCCACCATCGACCAAATGAATATTTAATGTGCTTGCAGCTGTCTGACTGCCAGCTCAACTCCCACTGGCCTTCGTCGCATCGATATAACAGCAAGTTCAATGTCAAGCCCATCTAAGCCACGCGGCGTATGCGCAACATTTCGTTATTATTTTGCTTGGCTTTTGTTTTCGCTGGCGTTGCTTTTATTTATAGAGGTAATCATCGAAAGACAACAGCGGTTGTTATTTATGCTCATTATAAATGAATAGTTGCGTTTATATATAGAGATTTCTTGATTAGCTACTTCTAATAGCTGCTTAATCAGTCCAGAGTATCGTAGTGAATAATGAGTCCTAATTGGAATTTGGTGTGTCTATGTGGACGAATATTTGAATAGGGGTGAGAATTTAGCTCAGAATGGATTATCTATTCGAAATTTAAATTAATTATTCAGTACAAAAAAAAAAAAAGTCCTAGCCGAGTAATCTCCAGTTACGAACTTGTCGACATTCTTAAATTGAATGAAATAGTTGTAGGTGCTGATAATTTTGTGATAATCTATCAGCGTTTCTAGTACACCTTATAGGCTGCAATAGACCTTAACAATCATTTAACTAAAAATACTTTTCGATAACAAAGCACAACGAAATTTTTAATCTTCACAGTCCAACTGCGCGTACTCAGAGCCTTATCAACAGTTTTTTTGTTGAAGCGCTGTCAAGACTTCATATTTCATTTGACAAAATGCTTGAAATTGACAGGCCAAGATTCGACAAAAGCAAATCAACCACAATTTGTGCTGACAAAAGCGAATAAATCCAAAAAGAGAAACGAAATTGTTTTTTTTTTCTGCATTTCTCTTTGTTATTGTTGTGGATGGGTTTATGGGGTAGGTCAGTGAAATGTTGGCCATGTCAGAGCCAGAAATACAAACAGAAAGCAGAAATCAAACAAATTGAGTGGGCAGTGGGAATTCACATACACGCATTCAGACTTTCCCAATTAGATACCGTTGCAATGGGCGTGGCATACAAAACGACTGGAACGGGGGTCAGTTGGACAGTTGGCCTTTATGTTAATTTCTGCCCGTTTTTCATAGCCGAGCATTATGAAAAATTGTTCAAGTGCAACAACAGCAACAACAACAGCTCAGCAAAAATAAAACAACAGCAAAAAAAATCATGAAACGTGCCGTGATTTAAGTTTTCTGTGACGCTGGCCACAGCCGAACTGCCAAAGGGGAAAATTCAATTAAAATGCACAAAGCCAACGTCTCGCCAAGTGCACACGCCTCCGTCCCCCGTCGCCCGGGCACGCCTACCGCTGTCTCCGCCTCTGTAAATGGTTGTATGCTCACGTATGTGTATCAAAAAATGCTTAAACTTAAATTGAATTTGTTATTAAACCAATTTCGTTTGGCCATAAAGCAATTTGCATGCAAAGCTGAAGCCGTGGCTGCAGCTGAATCTGCTGTCATGCCCCCACCTCCCGTGCTTTCTTTCCGAAACTAAGTTGACATATCCATAACCACAACATCTGTCTCTCTCTCTCCCTTAATCTGTCCCTACTTCTTCTCTGTCCAAAAATATGCGCTGAGTTGGCACCACAAATCGCGCAAATTCCAGTGACACTCAAGTTGTCAAGCTCAAAATTTGCCGCGTTGCTCATACGACACGTTGTCCGACCAACCACAATCCTCGATCCACCGCTCACCACCCACTACCCTGCGCATACCAACAATTTTCCATAAGAGCCCAACGCAATGCTTTTTCGCATAAACATGCAAATTTCGCACCATTGTATTTGCTAGTTGTACTATTCTACAGCCCCTTCCTTCTTTTTGCCCCTAACTGCACTTTACCCCAATGAGTAATTTGCATGTAAATACATTTTGCCATTTCTGATACTCTTTGTTAGCGAATTGAGCTGACGGAGCGAGCTTATCATAAGGGAATTCCAGTTACAATATATTGTTTATAAAATAATTCTATATATTAAATATGTATGTAATATTTTCATATGTAAGAGATATAAATAATATATAGAAATATGAAAAAAATACAATCAACATAAAAAAAAATAATATTTGGTATTTTCATATTTTTTTTAACATCTATTCTATGTAAAAACTCTAAAAATAATATTTATTGGTCTTCAAAAAATATTGTATTGCTCTATTTAATATTATTCAAAGGCTATATTTTCTTATATTTTTGCTTATTTCTTATAAATTTTGCTTTTAAAATTTTTAATATAATTATTTATATTTTTATTTGCTTATATAGAATGTATAATATAAAATTTAAAAGTGCACAGAAATAATAATAATTCAATATCAAATTATTATTATTATTCCTCAAATAATTTTTATCTCTTACTATAAAAATGATAATGATGAAATGCTGTATTCCCCTATAATTAAGATTGACTTTACATATCGTTAGAGCATCCATCTATAGGGTATCTACGCCTTGGCAATCTGATAATTCATATGGCACGATCTTTGTTTTCATTTTCATTTTCTTTTGCTGCTGCTGTTTGGTTTTTGTTCATGAACTTCAGCAACGTGCTGCTGGCAAACAAAAATGTTGTTCACAAAGCGTCGCCATTGTTGAAGATGTTGACGCTGATGACGAGGCTGA